ACAGAATAACATAGTTATCATTTGTTAAGTTTTAGTGATATTGCTATAAGTATTTTGTTTAACGTGAATAAATATAAGAACTATCGAGAAATCAAAGCTCTCTGGCGGACTTTGTCATGGCATTACACGAGTAAATATGTATTGTCAAAGTAAAAGGAAGACACCGAAATTATATTTTTTAAATTTGAATTTCCTAGACAGTGAATAACAAATTAGTGAAAATAAAACAGTGATAGACAAGTAATAAACAGAATAAATTAACATTGAAATCTTATGTAATAATTATAAATAAATTCACGGTGAGTCAATTTTGCCTCACAAGTGAGCCAATCGCAGAATAATGTCATTTGTAACCCTTCTGAAGAGCTGGTGACGCCAAATGATAACACGTCCGGCAGGGCGAGTGTAAATAAAGCGAGATAACACGCGCGTCAAAAACGCAGAAGGCACGTGTAACTTTTTTTAGTGATCACCTGACCCCTTGGCCAGCAGCTGCGACTTATTTCGCAGATTAGCCTGTACTTGATGAACACGATCTTCCATTGCCGATTGACAATCTAACCACAATCCGCTGCGGCTCGTGACGTCACGAACTGAGGAAATTAAATAAAAAATCTTCATCTCACGTGCAACACTGCAATGAAACGGTTCCCCATAACAGCCCGTGATTTTGCCACCTCGTCTATCATGACTTACGTAAAGAGAAACTTTTACTATGCACATGAATACGAAAAGAAATGCTCTATTAGCACTCATTTACAACGAGAGTACCGGAAGAGGTGTTCGTTTTCTGAACACATTTGTACTCGACTTCACCTCTTTTTTTCGTTCTTCAAATAGTCTCTGAATTGTCGTCATATACTTTGATTTATATTACACAAATATGTTTTCATTAATTTTATATACAACTTATAGAAAACAAAAATAAATTAAAATCTGAATTATTACGTATTTACTTTTGAACCCTGATTCCTATGGTATTGATCAGCGTTGAAACAACGATTATTCTCAAAATATTCGGCCACAATCGAAGCACTATTCAGAGAAGATTTATCTGAATTTGCTATCACACCCCACCGATCCAAGTTAGACCGGCTCACACGATCGTTATTTTGACACGCTGACGCGGACATTTGGACGGGCGGTTTAGAAACACATCGCCCACAATGGATCAGTTCACTCGCAATCAGGGGCCGCTGCGTCACCGCGGAAGGCGCTGCGGTGTCGCAGCGACCATTTGACGAGTTGCAAGTCCAGCCAGGACGCAGCTGCGCCACTAGTGATATCTTCCGCCCCGGCAAAGGCGATCGTTGCTGGATTCTGAAATATATTTTGACGCTGCCATGAGCTCGAAGGGATAACGAATTGGATGAGAAGTTCTTCATAGAAGAGTTGGACAACCCCCTTAAAGTATGGGAAGGGACAAATAATTACTAGAAAGACATACTAATAAAGAAGCGAAATGTATGGATTAATATTTATAAGTTTTATTTATTTAGTCAAAAAACAGTAAAACCTGTATGTGACGTATGGGAGAGAAGATCATCTGCGCACGTTTTTTTGAGTTTAAGAATCCCTTCCCATCATTTTAACTATAAATAGTTGAAGAATGAGTAAATGTTAAAGGTAAATAAATAAAAATAAAATTTAAAAAACCTTCTGTGAAGGATTTAAAGTAATTGAAGGAAAAGTATGGGCAAGATAACATTGTGATCATTACGGATTTTTACAACAAAAATTACTTAAAATATATTTTGAATTTTGAGATTTTCAAACACGGTTATCCCGCCACGGATATTCTCCAAGAGCACTAACACAGTAATCTGCAAAAGTGTTTCGGACATTGTACAAAATTTTTAGGGGCCATTAAGAAACCAGAGGATGAACCGAATAATCCCTCTCTCTATACTTCAAGTAATAATCGTTAACTTTATAGGCAAAAACAACATTCTTCTTTTCATTTGCGAAGTTTCGAAGTTCCGCGAAGGGAAAAAGTACTTAGTCGCTTCGTGTTGAACGGTGTAAGAACCCTGCGTCCCTTATGGCAAAAATGACGCCTCGTCAGTCCAGTAAGATGACGCTCGTGTAATCTGTTCACTGGATTGATTGGTTGATGTTTACGAGCTCGTCATCTACAATGGCCGATAGTATCGTTAGTGTAGTAAATGTTTTATCCTGGGAAGTGGCGGTATCCCCCTTGGATGGTGAGATCTGGCGCCGTTCTACACGTCGTCTTCCGAGGATTTCCATCTCCAGCATGTTACCTCCTTCAGCCGAGTGCAAAGCTCTTCTTCCAACCTCTCCCCATATATATATACTATATTATATAATATATATAATATATAATATATTATATATATATACGTAAATATAGTGTGTTGTGTTTGTGTGTGTGTGTCTAAGGTGAGAGTAGGACAAGACAAGGGAGCCAAAGATCGTGCACCATCTAAGACCTGTGTGTTAGGGTACTTCTTCGGCATTCGCCTGGAATTCATCGGGGAAACATAGGAAACTACCGATCAGAGCAGCCGGCCGCTAGAATTCTCCTCCAGGCACTAGCTACATTCGAACTTCCTAGGGCCATCTACAAGGAAAGTCCTCAAAATCCTGCTCTTCCTTTGTCACATTAAAAAAAGAAGTATACTCTTGAATAACATAAATTATGAAAAGTTGTAGGTTTCCGTATTATTGAATTATGGAAAAAACACTACATTTCCTTTGGTCACTCTCCCTACCTAGAGGTAGTAAAATATGATGCAGCCTCTATTGTGCAGTATATGGATGGAATAATCTGCATTCACAGAAGGGGTCAAGAAAGGTGTACAACAGGGATGCCATATTGTGTGGAATTCCGCCAATTGAGCAGGGTAAAGGCGGGATTTGGGGGAAGAAAATGCATTTCGCGTGATTCCGCCCTTTGTACGTTGTTTCCTGGAAGCATTTTGTGTGATTTTGGGCCCCACGCACAAGAGTTTTAAATGTGAACATCTTGCAAATGTGCAGCTATTATGAAAAGATGTCAGAATCCTCTTTTTTTAACTTTTTAATTAAACAGACATACAATCGCTCAACTTATTCTAAAAATGGTACAATTGTTGAAGTCTTATGGTAGGCAGACTTCATATACGTGATGATTTGGTTTTTAACGTCTTGTGATCGTGCAGCTATTTTGAAATTACCACCACCAGTCATTTGGCGAAATTGGGCGTATTTATCCCTCATTTGACGATTTCTGGGTATGACAACCCTGGTGTACAATAACAAGGGACAGTGTACCTTTGCTAAAACAATTGAGAACCTTTTCTTTTTCACGTCTCAAGTTAACTTACGAATTTCACTCAGAAGCTTTATTCTAAGCACCACTTTATTACGCATTCTGAACGTCATGTTGCATAAGCATGTGATCAAACCTCCGCAACTGAGTAGCATTCAACAAAATATATCTTCATGGCAATAAGGTGAGTGAAGTGTTCGCTGATTTCCTTTCATCTGCTTTATCAAATCTTCACGAAAACTTCATGGTACCTACAAGATATGTGGTTTCCAAACAAACAAGCAGACAAACAAACAAAAAAGGAAGAATTGCGGTAATATGAACTAATATACCCTCAATATTCGATCGAAATGAGAACCTCCCCCTTGTTTGAAGCTCCCGGAGTGTACGTTTATAAAATTTAATGTAAACCAAGTGAAAACTTTCGTTATTTCTTCGCTACATATGTTCTAAAAGTATGAATTAACAAGACCTGAGGATGTATGCAAAACAAGTTATATAATGCAAACTTATTTCAATTCTATGATTCAATCGTTCAACCTCGTGCAAAATATTTGAAGTCGTAATTTCAATGCAAAAAATTCAGGTTACTAAAGTACTATTCAACCTAAAACCATTCAACCACCAAATATACTCTACAACAACTATTAAAGAACTGTGTCCTGGACACGCTATAATTTTTATACCGTGGCTTCATGCAGAGGAATTCTATCATGTTCAAAAATAGTTCTGAATTTATATATATTTTTAAACGATTTAATGTGATATAATATTTAAACGACAAAATGAGGTAACTAAACTCTTGAATCTTATGTATGGCCGAGAAACGTTTTCTCTTTGAAAGGAAAGCACAACCCTTTATTACCATTTCAGAGGACTTAAAAAACACGAACAACATAAAAATAATGTTGACCTTTTAATATTGTATGATAAATTCATATAGACAGCTTGTTAGTTATTGGTTTCAAACTTGGAAATTGTTAGAATGATGGATTTTGAAGACAAAAATTTACAGAAAAATTGGTAGATGATAGCCCTCCAGGGAAAGTCAAAAACATTGTTTCGAAAGAGAAGGTCAGAAATAGTACTAGTGTTTCGGTAGAGATTGGAAATGCCAAGCAAATCAAAATATTACTCCTTGCGGTCATGTTTGCACATATGCTTTACATTCCCCAATTTATCAACCTTCTATACGCATGAGTTTGTGAATTAATTTCGGCGTCATGACCCACTCGGTCTTCAACTTCGCAACGCTGTCCTAAACGACTCGCGAGGATAGGACACAGGCATAGTAAACGCGAGTTTATCGGCCGTTGTCAGTATTACAACACATGACCCTGTTCGTCGCTAGTTATCACTGGAAGCCCACGAGACAGTAGTTCCCTTCTCGGCGACTTTCACAACGGGCATTCACAACGTACTCCTTCGCATTACACATTCAAATATTCCGAGAAACGCACAGCGCCACCCGCTATACGCAGGTGCGGTGTCATTTTCTCCCACGCACGCACGCACGCACGCACGCCGGCGGGCGGCGAGCACGACGACAATAAGGCGCCGCCGTCACATCGTGTGCACACACCGAAAACACGAGCGCCCGCGCTAAATTTAACCGCTGAAAGGTGACGAGGCAGGCAAGCAAGCGAGCGGACCTCGCACCGCGTCGCGCGTGGCGCGGCGCCTGGCCGTGCCGTGGCGTGCCACGCGCGTGGCCGCACTGACTCACCGAAGGCGCGCGCCCAGAAGGAGCAGGGGCGAGCCGTCTTGCCGCGCACGCGCACAAGCTCGCGCAGCGGCAGCGCCGAGTAGCGGCCCTTCTTCTCGGGGTGCGCGCCCAGAGACCCGTTCGCGTCGCCCATGCTGCCGACACTGAAGCGCCCGCCCGGCTCGCCGCCGGCTGCAGGAGGAGCAACCGCCGGGGCGGGACGGGGCGG